AAAAAGGAAAACCGGACTTAAAGGCAACAAATCCAAACACAACTATAGACCGGACAAAATTAATGCAAAACATAACGAAGTACTAACTCAAACAATCAAGAAACATTTAAATCTTGTTTCTTTAATTAATCGATCAGCCTCCATATTCCCTTCTTTTTAAACATTCATAAAAGATACTTCCATATCTCTACATATAAATCTTGTTTCTTTAATTAGCTCCTGTAAAATCAATGGGCAGTATTTCTCTTTCTTCTTCCACTGTATGACATTTAGTGAGTCACCTTCCACATAATGCATTTCTATATCCTCACCATATTTATCTGACATAATGCATGTCGATAATTGATCTTTCTCTATTGCTCATCTCCACCGCTATTTTTGTCAAAACGGCACTATTCATCCTTTTAAGTTTTTTTACTCCCATAGCCGCATCACAAGTGGTTGTGCATACTTTGTCTCATTTTATCACTCATCTTATCAAATTGAAAACTTTCTTATCTTCATTTCCCCCCCCCCCCAAAGATAATAACTGAAATTTCTAGGAATCCAATTCGTATTGCTTTATTTGTATTAAAGGATCCCACGAAGCAATAAGTCTCACATTTGATGTTAAGGGCAACCCCAAATATTTTATTGGGAGATTTTCTACACCATATCCATTTCAACGCAATTCATTATCTCCACAAGCTACACCAATGACTTGAGTTTTTTTTAGATTAACTTTTTGCCCAATCACAACCTCAAAGCACTTAAAGAATCTCTTCAAACTAACCTCTTGATCAGATGTACCACAAAAAATTGAAGTATCATCTACATATTGCATATGTGATACCCTTGTTCCATTCGGCTTTATTGAAAAACGCTTCAACAGTTCCATTTCTGCCACTGAATTCATCATGACGCTAAATATCTCAGCCATAATGGTGAAAGGGAAAAAGGAGAGAGGATCCCCTTGTCATATGCCTCTCGAAGCTTTGAAAAAACCTTTAAGCTTTCCATTAATAAGAATGAAAAAAATGAGTGGATCCGAGGCAGACATTTATCGACAAAAGCCATTTTTTATCAAAACCCATGGCTTTCATGGTATGTAAAAAGGATTTTCCATTTCACCTTGTCATATGCTTTTTCAAGATCAATTATATATAAAATACCCCACTCTTTCAATTTACTTTCATGACTTGTAAAAAGATTTTCCATTCCACCTTATCATCTGTTTTTTCAAGACCAATCTTCCATAAAATACTTCGCTCTCTCGGTCTAAGAATGCCTATAGGTTTCATTCCCATCACATCCAAATACAAGTCCAATATCTGTTGTTTTAGGATGGAAAAAAGTAAGCAACCAGTTTCAACACGCAACGGCAACATGCTCTCTCTCTCTCTCTCAAAAAAAGTTGATTTAGGAAAATAAATGGATAAAACTACACTGATAGGGAAAATGTAGTGGGGAGGGGGACGACACTAACGCTCCAAATCCATTTTTAGAGAGAGAGAGATCGATGACAATAATGCTCCCAATCCAATTTTAGAGAGAGAAAGATGACAATAGTGCTCCAAATCCATTTTAGAGAGAGAGATGACACTAGCACTAAAAATCCAACGTGAAACATGATTGCACTAATTACTCCATTATAAGATTCACAACCACGAAGTCAATGATATGTACACCGTAAACAGCACAATAACATACAAAATGGGCCATGGTGTACTATATTCCAGACCATAGTGGTGTATTGTACTCTTCCTCAGGTAAATGAGATCTCTACCTTCTAGGGGTGATCAATACGACAACAGAAACTGAAATAAGAGTATGGTCCCTGGGAGAGCAAAATGTACATTTGCTCCCTCAGGCAAAACCGAGGAGTATTTCCTAAAGTCAAAATATTCTATGCTCCCGCTGAAGCATATTATCTATTTACTACAAACACTATCAGGACCCTAATTTCGGGATGCGTATCTCTTCATCCCAGCGATTAACCTCAAAAAGAAAAAGAAGAAAATAAATAAATTATCATTGAGTAACATCTCAATATTTTGGAGGTGAGATCTAAATGTAGCAAAGAACACAATTTTTTTTATTTTTAATAACCACGGGATTCTCAAGTGCGTCCAAAAGTTTTTCAAATAAGAAAAACACTCCCAAGTATCTATTTCTCCCGATGGAGTAAGTATACAATATGTTCCCACAGGAGTACAGTATACATGCGCATTTTTAAATGATCAAAGGATTTCACTCTATCATGTGAACATGACACTAATGCTTTGGAAAATTTCACTCTCTACAAATTAACACAAATCGCCCATCCATGTACAGTCAAATCTCTAGGTGTTAAAATGCTCGACCAGTTTTTTTTTAAAAAATTAATTCCGAAATTCCATATCAAACTTATCCTCCCGAATCGATGTTTTGCTGAGGGAGCCACTATACAGTGTGCTCCCGCAAGATTAAACTATACGGGCATATTGAAACTTGATGGTCGTGTTTTAAAACCGGAAGTTTTCGATCCAAATCGCCAATCTCAATAGATAATAATAAGGATGGATCAGTTCTAAAATGGTATAGATCTCAACCCAATTTTCCTTTAAAACTCGTTATATATAATATTTTTCTTTTTTTTAATTAAATTTTTTTTTTTTTACCCCTCTAAATCCTGACTTTATAAACCTGTGTTCATTTTTATTTAAATTTATTAAATTTTATTTATTTTATAATATTTTCTTGATCACCTATTCTATTTTATAATAATTTTTTATCTTCAATAACCTGATATATGGCTATGAAACACCTGTCACAACTATATTTCAATATTAAAATTAATATCAAAATTAATTGATGGACAGTGAGTGAAAGAATGGGACCTCTACTTACGTACAATTGTTAATAGACAAGCAACACATGCCTTACCCAAGGAAAAGAGTTGGACCCACCACTTGGGTCATGTCATTTTGGTGGATCCTATTATTTGTCTAGTACTGTTCAACATTGATTGGATTGAACGGTGATGAGACTTGTGACCAGTGTCCAAGAACTCAAGGAATCCGTCTCAAATTTGCCTGGGTCTCTCCGAACTAGCACCCAGCCAATTCAAAAATAACAGAGACTAGGGGTAAAGTGAGTTTCGACCCTTGACTAAGACTGCCCAATTCCACCCAAGTCTGCCCGAGTCTGTCTTGGTTTGGGAAAAACAACGATCTCGCATCCAAGTAAGTGTAAATTGTGTCTCGATCAATGGTTTAAAAAACGGATCGGTGGCTTGGATCGGACACTTTAAAAATCCATCCGGATCGATGAATCGACGATCCGAATCGGAGATCGGTCGGATAAGCTTTAAAAAAGATTTAAAAAATTTATTAAAATTCATTATAAATGTTGTTTTTTAGAAATTCAATTAGAAATCGAAGTACTACATTATTAATTTTCATTTTTTTCATCAATATGTGAATATTGAGATATTTTTTCTCTGTATAAATTTATTTTAACCATTAAATTACATCACACAAAATAAAAATCATGAAACTTTCATGAATGAAGTATGTAATCATACGTGGACTACAATAAGAATAGTTTTTTTATAAGAACTTTTTAGTTTTTTTTTGACAAAAACCTTTTAATTTTTACAATAAATGTTTGTCGTATTACATTTTTTTTTGTTTTTAGCGAGAACTTTTTTTTTTTGACAAAAAATACTTGTTGTATTACTTTATTTTTATAAGAACTTTTTTTTTTTACTAACTTTTTATTTTTTTTACAAAACCTTTTATTTTTTTGACCAAAAAAAGAATCTTGACAAGAAAAAGAATTGATAAGAACCTTTCTTTTTTATATATAATAAACTTTTTATTTTATTGATAAAAAAAAAATTTGACAAAAGGTGAAATTGATAAAAAAAAAAACCTTCTATTTTTTTGATAAGAAAAAAAATTGTAAAAAAAAAAACAACGTTTCTTCCATGAGCGGATTCGAACCAACATCCTCCACACAATGAAGGTATGCGATAACCGGTATGCCACATGCAACTTAGTGATATTAGAAGCGCAAACAAAATATAGTGATATTAGAAACGCAAACAAAATACTATAATATATCAATGTTTTAAATTAATACCTTTTCACATTATCCCACATCGAAAAGGTAAAAAAGAAATGTTAGTGAATAAATACTTCTTTGTACGCACCAAGAATAATGCGTGCAAAGCAATGAGGCCACGTGGCGAGGTGTGCGGATGGTAGGTTCTCCCTAGTTCTTAACCTATTTTACCCTAAACTTTACAAAAATGCCCATGACTTGGAAGAATTGGGCGGGCGAAGAATCGAGAGATTCATAACGTCACCAGCCGATCACGGAATCGCCGGTTCTAGAGTAGAACCAGACGATTCCCAATTTTACAAAAGAATCGACACAGGATGACCGATTCTTGATTCGAATTGGCCGATTCCGTGCCGACTCGACGATTTTTAAAACACTGGTCTCGACTGACCTAACCAAAAACTTGTTGAACCGAGTCGAACGACTGACCTAACCCAAAACTTGCTAAATCGAGACGGACCAGGGATATTTAGTTCTGGGTTTCAAAACACTACATTTCATGGCCATATACCCAAAACTTGCTAAACCGAGTCGAACCAGGGATACCTGATTCTGGGTTTCAAAACACTACATTTCATGGCCATATGGATCACAATATACGTTGCCCTAAATATTTCACACTGTAGAATAATCGGGAAGGTCATGCACATTGTAGAAGAATCGCGCAGGTTATGACGTCATGAAGCAAAGAATCGGTAGATTCATGACATCACCAACCGATTTACGAACGAAATCGTCGGTTCCTCTCTAGAACAGGGTGATTCCTGATTTTACAAAAGAATCGACATTGGATGATCGATTCCTGGTTTGAATCGGCCGATTCAATACCGACTCGACAATTTTTAAAACACTGGTCTCGACTAACCTAACCCAAAACTTGTTGAACCGAGTTAGACCAGGGATACCTGGTTCTGGGTTTCAAAACACTACTTTTCATGGCCATATGGATCACAATATACGTTGCCCTAAATATTTCGTTAATACAAAGGCATGATTTAAAGTTCAGGGATTGCTTGCCAAGATATTGAAGAAGTGATAGACTTCATCCTTGTCCATTACAGCAACCTCAGTCTTGCATATAGAGCAACAAACCGGCCTAAATATTTCATCCTCTTCATCATTTTCGGAAGGTTCACCTGAATTCTTGCCATCTTTGATCTTCTCTTTAGCCTTAGCCTGCTTCCTTTTACTGACTGAAGGAGAGTGTAGTATCTGATTGGTTTTGATAGTGCAATTGCGGACAAACATGGCTCGATATTGGGTCAAATATCTCTCATGCCTACAACACAGAAATCCCATGACTAATCAGATGGAAAATGAAGATTGCAATCACTTTCAGTGTGAACGCGTGCTGCACACACAGAGAAAAAGAGAGTAATTGCACATTTACGTATATTTATTTTAAGGCAAATTTCAGTTTCATTGGTAGCTGGTTGAGCTGAGAACTGCAATTTGAGAGAAATTCATAGAGTGGATTGGGTGTTCGTGGGCATGGAAAAGTATCAACATTCCTTTCTTGATACAAGGAAATATTATCAAATTAACTACAAGCCTAATAAATATCTTGCTGGACCTTAGTCGTAGTCCAAAAAGTCTCTCTACATTTATAAACCCCATCACTGATTAATATCGGCTTTACAAATTCTTACTATTTTGGTCATCATTGTCAAAGTTTGGCTAACACGAATCATGTTCCGCCATGCTGCTCTATTAAGGGCTATAAACGCCATAAGTCCCCATATCCTTTCTCACTAAATTCTTATTGTTATGGTTAGTGTGCAAACTAGAGGACAATGTTTCTCCTTTGCAACCTAGTGGTCTGAACGCTTCACACCAACCTCTAGATTCAGGCCTAGTAGAAAAAGATATACATACACGCACAGAGGCATGCAGGTGCACACACACAAAACTGTCCCATACATTTGGTTTTAAACTCAGATGCATGGCAAACAAAAATTACAACATATATTAAGTGGAAAATTCAAGGGATCATGGTTTGACATAATCATAGAGCATAAGAAATCTCTCTCTCTCTCTCTCTCTCTCACTTATGAACACAAATTTGGAGAATGTTGACCGTTTTCACCTTTCGCTAGAAATTACAGTATACTATCATAGGAACATACCTCTGGCAATCCAAGCAAAGAGTGGTGAAACAGGCCGGACAGCTGAGTACTGCATCGGAGACACGACCTTTCCTTGTCTTCTCAACCCACAATGTATCCTTCTCATCAATATCAGAGTCATAAAATTCGGGTTTGACCGAGAAGTCTATTTCATCATCACTACTATCTGTTGAAAAACAAGAAAAAGAAGACTGAGTCAACCCACATGAAGAACATGATTACGTAAGAACTTGACAGAAATGTAAAAGAATGAAAACAAAGGCAAAGAGATAATATACATGAATAAAAAGACAACAGAAAAAATAAAGGGCGCGGTTAGCATGCGGCCACGCACATGTAGAAATACGGGCTTGGAAACAAATATAGTTTTTAAATATAATTTGATCCTAATTTTTAGAAAATATATAATCTTTAACATGGAGATCATGAATATAAAAAAATAAGTAAATTTTAAAAATTAGAAATAATAATTATATTAAGAAACTATTTGGACCGTTAGACCACCCATTTGCATACATCTTTAATATGGATGCCTTATACCTCTGGACCGCATATTGTACAAATGCGGTCCAGCCCGCATGAAACAATTGTTCAAAAATAAAACAATCGGGCTTCTACCCTGTAGCCCAGTCACACTAAGCTCTTGCTCTCAATCTTGATCTCGGGATACAGGTCCGAATTTGACACCACCCATCAAAATATGTGTGTTAGTGGGTCAATATTTTTGGATAACATTAGTACAAAATTGCATTCCCAAGAAAAAAAAATCGTGTAGAAGTGACAAGCAAAAATAACAATAAGAGGACAGAACCTTTAGTCAATCATCAGAAAGGGATAGGAGGGGCTTTTGTCAAAAAATTATAATAGCGCCCTAACACAATTTGCAAGATGGATTATTTTCTCATAAATTTTAATATTCACATTGTTACAGAGATGTATAAACAACCCAACCAATCAGCTCTGATACAGATATTAGATATTTGAATTCAGATACACTCTATTTGGCATGACAACTGGCAATGACGGATCACATCATCTAATATTTAACATTAAAAAAGAACATAAGAAAATTGTGGAATTAAGTGAAATGGAACCAAAACAACACCGATTATGCAGGCAAATTGACTTGAGATACTGCTGCAGTAAAAAATATCATGGTCGTACTCCTTTAAGATGAAGGGAAAATTCCATTTGTAATAATGACATTACTTAAGATAGTGCTGCAAAACCATCAAATAAGTACAAATATACATTAAGAATATGAGGAGAACCACCCCAAATTCTGAACTTCATCATAAGAAATAAAGCATTCAATGATTTCAATAATACCTTGTATGCTTGGCACAAGAGAGAACAAAATAACCCAAAATGACTCAGCAAGAACTCATCACATTATAGAATATAGTTTTTCCCATAAGTACATTGTATAACATGACAGTTATTTCGATAAAAACTTACATCAGATGAACACTATGTTCTCCTCTGCTAAGGCAAAGAAGAGCAGGAAACAGATAGCACGTCCTTTTTTCCCCCACTTAATCGGCATCGTGTCCAATGTCAGTATCATAAGAAAGTTTGTAGAATGAGCCAAATTGTAGGAAGCTAGTATTTTTTACACCAAAATCCGATTTCACTACCACAACATAGCTTCAAGGATGGAAACACATTCAATATTGTATCTCTAATTTCCACTGAAAAGAAATATGGTTAGTGTGGTATCGAAATTGTAAGAAAGGTCTACAGCTTAAATCATCTTCATATGATTAAAATAGGAAATCATAACTAATTTGTAACGACAATTACGTAAAACTTATAATGAAAAGATATATGAGTAGTCTGATGTTGCGCACTCTAAAAGTGATTCAAAGTGGAGCATTACATTCATAAGTCAAATAGGAGGAGATTTGGGTACTTTTTTTTTTACAAGTACACTGTGGGTACTTCTAAGTCAAACCAAACATAAACATAAACAAATTAATCAAACCAAAGCAACTGAAACTAGCATATAGTAGTGAGTAACATAGTCCTGATCCAAAAGACAAACAAAGGAAGCGATTTGGGTTCAATTACAAATTGGGGACATCTAGATCAAAGCAAACAAAAAAACTAAAAAAATAAATCAAACCAAACAAATGAAACTAATATATAATAGGGACTGAGATAGTACTGATTCATAAGACAAATGGGAAGCATCTTCACTCTTGAGTACTCTTCTTTTGATGAGTGCAATTTGGGTACTTCTAAATCAAACCAGACAAACTGAAAAAGCACATAATACTAAAAGATAGCGCTAGTATCTCCGAATACACCAAATTTCAGCAAAGGTCCAGTTTCATATCCATGCAATTTCTTCTCCTCATTCAACTTAGAACTTTCTACTGAAATATTAATTCAAATGAAGAGAGTACAAAAAATAGATTGCAGAATGATTGCAGACTACTAATCAATTTCCAACCTAATTAAGGGTCTTTGCGTACAGAGAACTCATGAATTTAGTAATTAGGTTCATCTCCAACACATCACTTAAATCCAACCAAAAACCCTAATTCCATAAAGTTGAGATATGAACCATTCAATAACAGATAGTTGATACTCTTATTTCTTAAAGCTGTCGCACATGAATAGTTCAGAGTAGAGGAGAAACTGTAACTCGTTTGATTAACGCTTGGCTAAAAAAGAAGTATAGTTCTAACTTGTTAATAAAACGTTCGAATTCTCACTCTCCCTCTGAAACAAGAATTGATAAAACGTAATTAAAAAAAAAAAAAGGAACAGAAGAGAGAGAAAATGAAAAGCAAAGAGAGAGAAAATAAAAACTAACCAAACTCGCGTTGAATGGTAGATGATTTTTCCTCATGATTTTTCATGGCCTGGCGTTCTTTCGCTGCTTGTGTTACCGCCGTGGCCGCGTCCTCATAAAGTAGATTGATTTAAATCATTTAACAATTACACAACCTTGACATTTTGCCTAATGACAGAGACACCCTTTGGCTTTTTGACAAAAATACCCTCTAGTATAATGGCCTTTTAAAAAAATATCAATGAAAATATTGTGTATGAAGCAATGGTTTAAAAAACGGATGGGTGACTCGGATCGGGCACATCAAAAATCGATTCGGATCGGTGAATCGGTAATTCGGATAGAGAATCGACGAATCGGTCCGATTAAAGCTTCAAAAAAATCCAAAAAAATTATTAAAATTCGTTATAAATGTTGTTTTTCAGAAATCCAATAAAAAATAAGGGTACTACATTATTAACTTTCATTTTTTTTCATCAATTTATAAATATTGAGATGTTTTTTCCCTGTATGAACTTATGTTGACCATAAAATTTACATCACACAAAAGAAATCATAAAATTATCATGGATTAATTATATAATCATATATAGACTACAATAAAGAGTTGACTAAATCGATGAAAATTTGGCCACTAAAAGCTCGAATTGACGG